TATTTATCAATAGATAAATAATCAAAGAATATTAAAAACAGCTCTCAAAAGAAAACATGCAAACTATTAACAACCACATGAAAGAGTATCCCAGATTACTAATAAGAAAAAATGCAAAATTTAAAAACCTGACATTTTTAACACAGAGAAAATTGGAAAAGATGACAAAGGGTGGGTATAGTCAATGTTGGAAAAATTTTTTGAAAGACAGGCATATTAGTCCACTGTTGATAGAACTGTGAATTGGTCAAGACATTCTGGGAAGCAGTTAGAAATTATCTGAAGAAAGTGATGAAAATGTTCACATCTTTTGGCTCAGAGATCCCATTGCTATACATATGAATAAAGATAGAAAGTTTCCATATATGCCAAATTATTTATAGGTTTTTTTTTTCTGAAGTAGCAAAGAAGTGAGTTCAAAGTAGATACCTATTGATTAGGGAATGATTGAATACAATGTAGCTTATGAAGAATATAATGGAATGTTACTATACTATAAGAAATGACATACAGAAATGCATGTGAAAATTTATATGATATAATCAAACATGAAAGGCAGAGTAGGGAGAAATATATAAATGTATGTATGGAGACATATATGCACACATATTACAATGACTGCAATAATGTAAATGGAAAGGTAAAAAAAATTAAACCTAACCATATATATGTATGTGTGTGTGTGTGTGTGTGTGTGTGTGTAATTATAGTGACCAAGTTTGTCCCTGAAAAAGACATGAGAGAATGCATCTCCCTCCATTCTTTAATGGAACTTTTGTGGATCATTGCATATATTACCCCATAAGATTTTGTACTGGGTAGTTTTGCTGAGGTGCTTTTCTTTTTAACCCCTTTAAAATAAAAAATCTTTTAAATAAGGAACGGATCTCTGCATAGGAAAGGGGGAAGGATAAATTGGAAAATGAAAGTGATTTAAAAACAAAAGATTAACAAAATTTTTTTAATGAGGATGAAACTTCTAGCACTAACTACCTCACATGCTTATTTGGGAAACCCACTTTGTAGATTGAAATTTTTTATAGAAATATCAGCTATTGTTATAAATGTAAAGTTCTGCACTTAACCCAAATCAATTAAGTCACTTGAAGGTTTAAAACAGAGCAGAGCTATAAGGGATGTGACTGTGCTCACAGAAATGCTATCAGTTTTAATATTTTCTAATCACTCCTGTTTGTGGCATATGAGCATTTCTCTTTCTCTCTCTCTTTTTTTTTTTTTTGGAAAACCATCAGGGTTAAGTGACTTGCCCAAGGTCACACAGCTAGTAAGTGTTAAGCATCTGAGGCTGGATTTGAACCCAGGTCCTCCTGACTCCCAGGCCAGAGCTCTATTCACTGTGCCACCTAGCTGCCGCCATATGAGCATTTTTTCTTTAGTCTGAATCTTGCTCACCTGCTTACTCAGCTTTTTCCTCTTGGACCTGGCCTCTTGACTTGAGTAACTAGAGTCCCTTTTTGTGTTTTAAGAATAGCTTTGATTTGGAAATGCAGAAAAGCTTGCATATCCCCTGGTAATCTATTCTCCTCTACAACAGATAATGCTAAAGGCAGCAGTCAGGACCTGCTTGTTATTTGATGTTGCTTTTACTTGTGTCTGAGCTTAAGTTTTTACAGTCTTCCGTGATAAAATTCTGCTGTCTCAGAATCCTTTACATTCTGGGTTCCACTGGGATGTGTCTTCATAGTTAAAAAAATAATTTACATAAGTTAAAGATATGGGAAGACATACTTACATAGAAGTTTATGCATAAAGGACTTAAAGGCTTTTGATTCCTGGAAACTGTGGTACAACAAAATGATTGGCTAGCAAAAAAAAGCTCATGTTATGTGGCATAATGGATAGAGCACTGAGTGTGGAGTCAGGAAGACCTGAATTCAAATCCTAAAATTCGAATAGGATTTGAATTCTAGACTCATATAGCTACACTCTAGAAGTGTGACTCTAGACAAGTCACTTAATATCTTTCACCTACAGTTTCCTTATCTGAAAAATGGGAATAATAACCTACCTACCTACCATGGTTGTTGTAAAGATCAAACAAGATAATATATGTAAAGCACTTGTGAGATCCTGAAGCTCTGTAGAAATGTTAGCTATTATGATAATAATAATTATTATTAATTTGAGTTAAATTCAATGGCTGCATAGTATCAAGTACAAGGGATGTAAATTGGAAAAAGAAAAGTCTATTGAATTCTGGACTGGCCAATCCCCATTGGGAATACTATGGCTCTTTTTAGGTGCCATGAAACAGATACAATTATAAGCTGGTGTCTGGAAGAGGGTTAACTACAGCTGTCAAAACTTATATCATCTATGTATCAATGGAAGGAACCAGGAAATTTTGCCTGGATAAAAGAAAATTGAGGAGGAAAACGATCATTGACTTCAAATATTTAAATCTATCTGAGATAGATTAGGCATTCTGTATCATTCCAGACTTGGACTGACAATTAGGATTCTGCTTTGATTAGATATAAAGAAGGAACTCATAAAAATTAGCTCATTCAAAAAAAAATAAAGAAAGAAAGAAAAGAAATGAGATGGCTGTCAGAGGGATAGTTCTCTAACCTAAGGATTGTCCAAACAGAGACTAGATGACTGCCTAGTAGGAATATTGTAGAAGGGATACTGGCTTTAGGTGGGAGTCTGGAATAAATGACCTCTGAGTTCACTTTCACCTCTAAGATTCTATTATTCATCAATTGGATCAGCTAATAGCTGATAAAGTATATTTGCAGTATCAACAGGAGGCATTTGAAGATGAAAATCATTAGTTAATGAGATGAATCTGTAATATCAGAGTTTCACATAGTTTGACTGTTGGGTGGAGGAAACAGGCAAGAAGGCATTCTTGGAATTCTTTAAATCGTGTCATGAGCACAAGCACTTCCCTGCTTACATTTAAAATTGGCCCATTTTAGAAATTATATGTGAAATCTAAGAATCAGGTGTTGAAATAATTGTGAGGCAATGAAAGCTGCTTTGACTGGTATGTTTCTACCCCAGCCCCCCCCACCCCCATGCATGTTTGCTAAGACTCAATTGACCTAGATTCCTAGGCTCCCCACTTGATTGCCAAGGAACAGTTAGATTTTCTCCCTAGGTTCCTGCCCCTCATTTCTCATTCCTTATGAGGCAATTCAGAAAATACCCTGATTTCAAGGGTCTAGACTCTCCTACTTTCCTTGTCCCATAGGTTCTAGGGTAGCTTCTTATTAGTGCCATATCAGATCTTTGTTCAGGACCTTATATAAGTTTAAACCTAAGTATCTCAGTGTCAGGGACTGGAGAGTACAGAAGTATTATGTGTCAGAGCTTGTCCATAAAGCTGGTGACAGTGGGGTTGGGGGTGGTCCTCTCTGCTATTCCATTTTGGCACCTGTCATCTTCCCATTATTGTCATCCCTGTGCAACAGTGTCACTCATCAGATACATTTTCCTCTTCTGTTCCTCTTCAATAGTTAGTGATGAAATTTTATTTTAAGGTAACTTTTAATTGATGTCTTTTGTTTTTATGTCACATGCATTTCCCAATGTAGCTCTCATTTCTTTCCATCCCAGAAAGCCAACTCTTATAATAAGACTTAAAGAAAGAAAAAAATTCAGCTAAAGTATCAAATCACATTCATTATTTCACACCTGTAGTCCTTCAACTCTGCAAAAAATGGAGAGAGGTACTTTCTTATATCTCATCTTGTTTATTATGATTTTATATCATTATTGCTGTATTTTCATTTACGTTTTATAGATATGTACATTGCTTTCTTGTTCCTGCTTTTCTATTTGAATTCATGTTTTCCCATGCTTTTCTGTATTTGTGAATCCAGTTTCTTATTATGCAGTAATATTTGAAGATGAAAATCATTAGTTACCACAGCTTATCTAGCCATTCTCCAATGAGCAATCACTTTATTTCCAATTCTCTGCTATGACAAAATGTAATACTATATTTTTTTTTGCAAAAATTCTAAGAAAAATACTAGAAAGTCTTGGGTGCTTGAGATTAATATATGTGAATTTGAAGGAAATAAATATTCTATGAGGTTTGATATAGAAAGATCCTGACCCTTCTTTCTACAAATAGGCCTTAAAGTGATATGATTTTTACCAGGGACCTGAATAACAAAATAAAGACCACCTAAGTTTCAAATTTCTAGATCAAATTAGCAGTATTATGAATATGCAGCTGTTACACAGGGATGACAATAATGGGAAGATGACAGGTGCCAAAATGGAATAGCAGAGAGGACCACCCCCAACCCCACTGTCACCAGCTTTATGGACAGGCTCTGACAGATAATACTCTGTACTCTCCAGTCCCTGACACCGAGATACTTAGGGTTTAAACTTATTCAACATAGAGTAATCAAATTAATTCTATTTAATGACCATTTTTTCTAAATTCAAAGCAGTTTCAATAAATGATTAATAAAATGTATAAACAATTCAAGTAAACAAGATCAAGAGTTAAAATGCCAGTGCAGTAGACATGTGGAAAAACACAAGTCTTCAGTCAGGTTCCAATTTTTACCTCTAGACCTGGATTGACATGTTAGAGAGGAAAAGTGATTCTGTTTAACAAGACAACCAAGCCAAAAGAGGGCAAAAATCTTCAAAGAAAAGGAGTCACACTTCCCATTCCCCTCTAACAGGGCTATCTCCAGAGTCAGTCACTCAACTCAAGTGCTATCTCCTTTAGGAAACTATTCCTGGTTTTCCCGGTTCCCACAGCTGCTAATGTCATTCCCACCACGATTATCTTCCATCTACACTGCATTTATCTTGTATGTTCTGATTTATGTAAAGTCTCTCGCATAAGACTGTAAGCTTCTTGAGGTCACGGTCTGTTTTTCCCCTTTTGTATCCACAGTGCTTAGTATAGTACCTGGAAGATCACCAAGCATTTATCAAAAACTTAGTATGTGCTAATGGCACACAATTAATGCTTTTCTATCGATTAACTGTTTGAATGATGTAGGGAGAAGGCAAAGTTGATCTTTTGGCCCATCTATGACCTCTTTGAGAAGTGAGCTCTGGACGACTGTATTTTTCCAGGTAATTGAATATTTCTTTTATTTCAAATTCACATATGCTACCCCCAAAGCACCTAAAAATTGCTAGCTTTTTTTCTTACAAATCCCATTTAGCCTAGAAATAATTTTTAGATTCCAAAACTTTGGCAAATACTTTGATACAAGCACTGGAATTTCAGTCATGCAAAACCTTTGAATGAAATTACAGCAGGGTGCAGAGGAAAATGTTCTTCCCCTTCTACTCAAAAGGGCACGTATTGTCTCTCAATCTTTGCATCTATGTGATTAAAGTTTGGAGTTTTACCAGATTTCTGGAGGAGTTTGATTTTCCACCTCATATCTATTACAATTCATGTATGAAAATAATTATCCTGAAGATTTTCTATTTGGTTTCTACCGTTTCAAAAATTACAATTTCCCCTGAAGTTTCTTTTTAGTATCATTACCAAAATACCATGCATGCTTTTTTAATCATAGAATTTTTCTTGCCTCAACCTATGTGTGTTCCTAATACATAAAAGAAAATATTTTGCCAGATATAGAACACACTTGAATGCTGTGTTTTCTGGGTTTCCAATCAACCTTGAATTTTCAGGGGGCCAAATTCATTTACCCTTGGCCAATCATGACGTACAGAGGGGGAAAAAGGATTTAAAACTTCTTTTGAAATCCTCAAAATGCCTGTTACTCACCAGATAGTTCTTACAAAAAAACTTTTGATGAGTCTAAGTGTAAATGAATCAGAAAAATTTGGATTAAATTTCCCTTTTTCCCTTTAAACCTCATGTGGTTTTTTAAATTGTGGGAAAAAATCCTTGGCAAAACTTGTCTTGGATTTTACCAAATCCAGACTGTTTGAAAATGAGTTAGATGTTCCAATATCAAACCAAGGTTGAATTTACAGGTCTGATTATGTGAACATCTTAGTAGTGTGTTATCAACTTCAGGCAGAAGAGACTATGATTGAAACCGAAGGACTTCTTTTCCTCTGTCTCAGAGGTAGGAACTCCCTGCATTCTGCTTTGGAATTCTCAGAATTTTTACAGCTATGTCCCAAACACAAAGAGTAGACAAAACAACGGTGTTAAAAGAATCTCAGTCCCATTATCTTTGAATATCTTAAGTGATCACTTGAAAGTCAATTTGTTATTCCCTTGATATGTCAGCAATCACTTTTTTACTTTCTCATTTATCTTTCCTTATTTAGATACACAATGGTAAATTTCAGTTAGAGGGAAAAATACAGGCCTTTAACAACAACAATAATAAGAGCTAATATGTCTATACTACTTAGTGCCAGGCACTGTGCTAATCAATTTATAGCTATTATCTTACTTGATTCTCACAACAACCTTGAGAAGCAGGTGCTAGTACTACCCCTCCTCATTTTACAGATGAGGAAACTGAGGCAAACAGATTTAAGTGACTTGCCCAGGTTCACAAAGCAAGTAACTATCTGAGGCTGGATTTGAACTCAGGTCTTCCTGACTCTAGGCCCAGCACTCTATCCACTGCTAAGTGCCTACTATGTACCAGAAACTGTGCACAGAGTGCACAGAGTGCACAGAGTTTTATTCACTGTACCAACTAGCTGCCACAGTAGTATATAGTAACCCAATCAGAGCTAGTTCTCAAACCTCAGTTCTACAGGAACTTGTTCACCAAAGGATAGGTTGCTAGTCCTCTGGTGTTGACTGGGTAACTCAGGATAAGTAATTTAATCTCTTAGTACCTGTAGCAACTCTAAGTTGCAGTACAGTTGTTGCTAGACATTAAGTGAGAGAATTACCTGATTATCATTGATAGTTTTCTACACCAATTAAATTGCATGCCAAGGAAACAGAAAGAGAGAGAGAGAGAGAGAGAGAGAGAGAGAGAGAGAGAGAGAGAGAGAGAGAGAGAGAGAGAGAGATACAGAGACTAAATTGTATCAACATAGTAATAATGATTAAGTACACACTATAAATACTGTGTAGTCATGATCTTTAGATAGGAATTTATGCACTTAATACAAAAAGTGTTTGCTTTCCTAATAGTGATGTGGACTTGTCTATATTACAAGAAATAACTCCTTGGAAGATAAAGAAAAAATATTCAAACTGTTGCTTACAAAAAAGATTAAACCACAACCACCTTATGATATATTTGATTTGGTTATTATTGGTTTTAGTCGGTGTTTATTGATTTTTGAAAACATTGCCTGGCTTTTACCCTATATCCTTCCCCTGTCCCTCTTTGAGAGCCATCCCTTATAATAAAAAGAAAAGAAAAAAATCAGCAAAACTATACAACAGACCAAAAGCTTCTTACATTCTATTCAATATTCTATACTTATGGACCCCAACCTCTGCAATAGAGTAGGGGAGGCTTCTTCTCATATGTATCTTTTAGATGCCAGACTTGTTCTTTAACACTTTAATGCATTCAGTTTTTCTTTCCATGCATGTGGTTGTAGTCATTGTGTATAGTGTTTTCTCATCTCTTCTTATTTCATTTTGCAGTAGTTCATGTAAATCTTTCCATGCTTCTCTATTCACAGTTTCTTACCTACCATGATATTCCATTATAGTCATGTATCATAATTTATTTAGCCATTTCCCAGTTGATGGGAATCTACTTTATTTCTAGTTCTTTGCCAACAAAAAAAAATGCTGCTATAAACATATTGGGATATATACGGGAACTTTCTTTTCATAATTTATATCCATGAGGAATATGCCCAGCAGTGGACTGTCAAAGCTAATAGAATGGACATTTTCATCTCTTTTTCACATAATTCCAACTACTTTCCAGGATGGTTGTATTAACACACACACACACACACACACACACACACACACACACACACACATATATATATATATGTTATGTATATATATATATATGTTATGTATATATATATATATGTTATGTATGTATATATATATATATATATATATATATATATATATATATATATATATATCCATGAAGAATACAATAGTGTCTTTCCTTCTACACCTCCTCCAGAATGGAATATTCTTGTTAACTATTATTGTTAACTTTTATTTTTTTTGGCAATTGGGGTTAAGTGACTTGGTCACACAGCTAATGTCAAGTGTTTGGTCTCAGGTCCTCCTGACTTCAGGGCTGGTGCTCTATCCACTGCACCATCTAGCTGTCCCTATTGAAACATTGAGGAGGGATTGGACTTCTGTTTGGCTCCAGAAGGCACACTAGAATGAGTCAAAATTGCAAAAAGGAAAAATTTGATTTGCTCTAAGGAAAAGCATCCTAAGAATTCAGAATTGTCCCAGATATAGTTAGTTGCTTTGTGACAAAGTGAGATCCTGTTCTTTGGAGCAAAGAATGGGTGACCAGTGGTCACAAATGTTGTAGAGGGGATTCCTGCTCTTGTGTGGCTAGAAACATTTGGCCTTGGAGGTCCTTTTCATCTCAGAATTTTTTAATTCATTCTGTGATCATGTCTATGCAAATAAGGTGAAGGCCACTCAACCCCAAGGACATTTGGAGCTTTTCAGAAAGGAAATAGAGGGAGTTTTGTTTTGCTTTGCTTTTTTGGGGGGGAGGGGGTGACAGGCAAGAATAATAACAGCTAACATTTATATAGCACTCTAAAGCTTGCAAAATGCTTTATAAATATATCATTTTATCCTCACAACAACTCATTGGAGGTGTTTTAATTATGCTTTGTAATTTTACAAAAGAGGAAACTGAGGCAGACAGAGTTTAAGGCACTTGCCTAGGGTCACACAGCTAGTAATCCTGAAATTAAACTCGTCTTCCTGACTCTAGGTCCAACTCTGTCTCCATTGTGCCACCAGCTGTCAGTGAGGTCAATATGTCACCAGGCTGTGTATGAGGAACCATGTGGTAGTATGGAGTCAATGAAGGGTAATAAAATTCAGGTTAGAGAGATCTGAATAGGAGAAGCTACAGATGAAGAATCAGAACAGAAATAGAGGGCAGGACTGGTGGTGAAGCTGGGGTTAAAAGAGATGCTGCTCTCCACTGCTTCTAGAGAGTGAGCCACATGAATCTCTCATATGGCAGAGAAAGCTCCTTTGCTTTCCATAGTATAGCCACATTTATAATGGAAATGCTTCCTCATAAATTTGTTTCATTTGCTTCATGGCATAAAGGTTCTCCTAGAGTCTTAAAGACTTGCACTGCAATCCAAGCTCTGTAAAGACTTCCATTATGGATGATATGATGGTCTAGAATTCTGCTGTCAGAGGAACAGCTAAAGTGAGGAGAGGCTCATCGTCACTGTGGTATGGTGGAAAGAGGGAAAGAATACTAATTCTAAAATCAAGGGGTTTAGGTCAAATCCTGTCTCTGATGCTTCATTAATCTCCTCCCAGTCCTTTTCCTTGCTTTTAGACTTCAAAACCTTTCTCTGGCAAAGTGTTTCATCCTAGAACATCCCTCTGCTCTTATGGACCCCTTACCCCGGGACAATCAACCACTCCTGCAACATCCTTAACTTGGAATGTTTCCCTATAAAGCCCATGCCCTTCTCCCATTGGTGAATTCTTCCAGATTTTACACAGGGGCCTAGGCTGGTTTTCACTCTCTTCACAGCTCTGTTTCTATCTTTCAGATTTCAAAATCGTGCTCCATTCAGCTACATCCTTCTCTTCAGCTCTCTCTGGACTTAATAAGGACACCTGACTTGTTTTAGCCCTACTGCAGCTCAAAGCTCCCAATTCAGGAGATCTATCAGCCTCAGACTCTTCTAGTATCCAGGATTACTGCTGTGCACCATCATATCCAGCTACTACTCCAATTCTTGAAAATATCTTTTAAGTTACAAAGTGCATTGTGGATGAAATGTGTACTCTAATGAAAATGTGTATCCCTAAAGTATTGAAGAAATAAGTTTCAGGTATGTTTATATGAAATCTATCAGCTCCCTTTCCCCATGCCCACCTCTATCCCAAATGAGTTAAAATCCACTATAATTACATATAAATATGTGCATACACACATACATATGTATGTATATATATATATACATATATATATATATATATATTATATACACCCATAAAGAGAAATGTATTTTTGAACAGCTAAATATATATTTAAATAAGCTATTAATAAAATATGGATACATAGTAACTTTTTTTAGATTTTAGAAACACTGCACGTAAACAGCATTAGTTTTAAAAAATTATACCATTTTCAGTTTCCTTTGTTTCTTTTGTTTGTTGTTCTTTATTTATGATCAGATTATAGAGGGTTGGAGAGAGTTTATTTAATTTGTTAGTATTATATAGCACCTTTCATACTTGCATGCCCAAGTAGATGCTCAGCTATTTTAGATTAATGATAACTTCACAAACTTCAGGAATAAAGATCATCTTTACAAGGCAAGAGAGAAATGGAAATGACTGTATCTAATTTATTATCCTGAATAATTAATGTGTTAAGGTACTTTTAGTTTGAGTCAAATACCTAAATATTTTTAATTATTGGTTAGGAATTCTTCAGAAAATATTTCACAAGCAAGAATTAAATTAGATGTGTGGCATTGAATAATTGATGAAATTTGCTTTATAAATTATGAATAGAACACAATACCTTTGGATAAAAAAGTTAGGGGAAAATCTCTTTTTTGATTTCCTAGGTTACAATTGCATTTTTATAACTGAAGTATCAGGCTAAAGTGAGGAGACTCCATAAGCCTCACGTGAAAAGTGGGTCATCTTATTCTATAGTCATACTTCGCCTGTGTTCCATATGCAGTAGAGAAGATTAAAGAAGGGAGGACTAGGGATAGCCATGATGATGATAAAGCAGCAATGTGTAGTGGAAAAAATGATGTTTCTGGGGTCAATAGACTTAGGTTTGAGCCCTGCTTCTGACATGTGATCATGGATAAGTCATTTAATGTCTTTAAGCTTTAAGTTCCTCATCTGCAAAATTTATCAAATGAGAAAATATATGCAAAATGCTTTGCAAACCCTAAAGTCCTATGTTAATATTAGTTATTAGTATTAAAGAGAGGCAGTGTACATAGCAGATAGAGAGGTCACCCATGAACTAGGAAAACGGGTTCAAGTTTTGCCTCTGACATGTACTGGTTGTGTTATTCTGAAAGAGTTACTTAAACTCTCAGTGATTTATGCAACTTTTTAAGATTATAAGTTACAGAGAAGGGACAGAACTGAGTTGATAGGAAAGTTCCTCACAAGGGAGTCCCCTATACCAGTGAAATCACAGGTCCAATGATTATCCCTATTATAATAAAAATGTAAATAATATTCCCTTCTTCACAGTGTTACAATGATTAAATGAGTGTCTTTTCTTCATAATCTCTAGGACATTCTGAGGAGGTAGTGGTGACATGCGTGAAGGCAGTTTTGTTTGAATAGATAAGAATATTTTCCTTGGGGAGGTTGGGAAAGAGAGGACAACCTCTACTCAGGAAAGTCTTTTGAAGAGTCTGGGAAAGCATTCTGAAAATAGAATGGATTGAGCATAATTTTAAGATATGGATTAAACTATTATCCAGCTCTATTGATAAACACTGGGTGAAATGTCTTCCTCAACAGTCCTTCAAGAAAGAAAGAAAAGAAGGAAAGAAGCAAGAAAAGAAGGAAGAAATATAAGAAGGAAGAAAAGTAGGAGGCATGAAGAAAGAAAAGAAGAAGAAAAAGGAAGGTAAGAAGGAAGAAAATAAAGAAGGAAGGATAAAACAAAGGAAGATAAGAAGGAAGGAAGGATAGAAGAAAGGATGATAGGAAGAATGGAGGGAAAGAAAGAAGAAAGGAGTAAAGGAAGGAAGGAAGGAGGGAAGGAAGAGATGAAGAAGAAAAGAAGGAAGCTAGGAGGGAAGGAAGGAAGGGGAAAAAAAGATGGAAAGAAGAAAGATGGGATGATGTTAACAATTTCTTTCCATTCAGGCCTTATTTTAATTTTCTCCCTATGGATTCTGGCTTATTTTTGAAAGCTTAGGCACCATGAGAATTTAATTCAAGGACTTCATGGGTTTCATATCTGCTACTATTTTTAAAGGATAAATTAACATAGAGTTATAGAGAATTTATCATCAGCTTTTGAGGGAAAAGAGAACTGGTATAATTTCTTCTGTTACTAAAATGTAGGTTTTTGAAATATTTATGATAGGCAATTACCAAGATAAGCTTCAGATTAGTTATATGATTTAAATAACCTGTTACTGATAGTGATTGAATAAAATCCAACATGTACCTCCTCCTAATTCATTTTACTTTGAAAATCCTGAGATTTTGTGTGAAATTATATATACTTGGACTATTGTCCTGTATAATCAAAATGTTATTTTGTCATGTAGGACTGCCAAGTAGCATTAAATATATTATATATGTTCATGAAATAGCAGAAGGAATCTTTGGGCTTAGAATCAATTGGCACAGGTTCAATTCCTGGCTCTAATACTTAAAAATTGTGTGACATAGTCAAGTCACTTAACCTTTCTTAGCCTCAGTTTCATCAACTGTAAAATGAGAATACTAATAAGTATATGACCTTCCTCACAAGCTTTTTCTAATTACAGGAAATATCCTCTGAAAACCTTAATATGCTACCAAAGGTGAGTTATTATTATGTTATTATTAGAATATAAGCTCTCATTTCCCCTTTTCAAAAACACATTTCATCCATGATAACTATTATAATTATGCAATTCTTTTTCATGATCTCATATAGGAGTGCCACAGGGAATCCATCCATCATATCTTCTAGATTCTTTTCTGACATTATAAGGGTATAAGTGGAGCCCTAAGGCTGTCCCTCTGTTATGTCTTGTTCTTACCAGGTGATCAACCCATCATTTTGGAATCATTAATTTCCCAGATAATATAATTTACTCCAGTTTTTCTTAGTTGTTACATGTTTCACCCCATTTACACTCACCATGAACCTCCACATTGCCTTCTGTGTGGTATTCATTTTTAATTCTTCAGAGATTGTAATATTCTTTGATTCACATCCATAGACAATACTAGCAGAATATTTGTATATTACCTTAGTTTCTGAGTGGAGTTTGGAGTTATTATCATCATAATTGTTATTATGATTAATTCCAGTTCCAGTTGGAGTTCTTTACAGAGGCATCTTGATTTGGGGTAATGACTCTGAATCTTGATTTTTTTCATTGCATCAATAAAACACATAGCTGCTGTTGAGCCAGACAGAGCTTGATGCTCATCCTTCTCCTCACTAAGGGACCCTTTTCAGTTCTGGATCCATGTACAAAGACTGGGCTCAATCCTGGGAAAGATGGCCTCTAAACAAAGGGATAAGACATTTTTTATTGAATTGTCTAACTCTCTACACTCTACCCCAGAGCCCCAGAAGGAATTACTTAAAGCTTAGGTTTGGGTTATGTCTAGGAAGTTGCCAAAGGGTGGGGATTGGGGGATAGAATCAAGTATAGAAAAGCTATGTATTTCTTCAACACGAAAAATTGCTAAAGAACTAAGTGCTCTCTGACTGAAACCAACAAACAACCTTAAACAAGAATCTGAAACTAACGACTGCTGTTATAATCTTCTGGAAGTTGATACTTAAAACATTAGAGCACTTTTTGAGACTGCTGAACCAGATTTTCACTTTCACCTTGCCTCTGTACCATCCAGACATTTTCTTTCAAGTTTCAGTCTTTTAGCAAGCCAGTCCAAGGATTATGCTCCTCCTTATGCTAGTTGTCAGCTCCAAAAACTGAGATGCTGAGGCCTCCTTCCATGGTGCTTGCAGTACTGACTGAAGGCCCTGGAGCTCCCAGCCTCTTCAACTCAGAAGGTTACTTACATGTTTGAAAACAGAGTTTTTGCCTGGAGATGCTGAGGCCTCCTTCCATGGTGCTTGCAGTACTGACTGAAGGCCCTGGAGCTCCCAGCCTCTTCAACTCAGAAGGTTACTTACATGTTTGAAAACAGAGTTTTTGCCTGGTCATCCCTACTTAGAAAAGAAAATACAAATCAAAAGACAGAGCTAGGATTTTGAGATCCAATCTTAAGCTCCTCTAGTCCGATACATATACTATCTGCGAAATGCAAACAGCTCTGCCATTTCACCATTTCTGCCAGGATTGTGGAAAGAGCACCTGAGTCTTACAGAAAATCCAGGGAGGGAAAACTACCTGACACACATTTTCCAAAAATGAGTGAGAGAGAGAGAGAGAGAGAGAGAGAGAGAGAGAGAGAGAGAGAGTGAGATTATGAAATTTTTCTCCTGTATTTAGTAGGTAGATTTTCTTGGCTCAGCAGTCAATACTCTCTGATGTAATCCCCCCAAAAATCACTGTTGGGGGGTACTAGGAGTAGGCCAGGCTTACTGCATCATTCTAAGGCAATAAACCCTTCAGTGGATAGGTACATAATCACCTGGAAATGGCCACTATACTGACTCAGGTGATCCTTGGAGTGCCCTAGAACCAGAATAAAGCAGGGAACCTATTATTTATAGCCTATTACATCATGATACAGAAAGAGCCGTCTGTGAAGTATTGTGGAAAGCCTCTTAAACCAAAAGCTTTCTTTTCCATTTGTTATATTTTTAGCTCTTACAGGGCAAGGACTGTGCAAGTTTTCATGTTTACATCCTTCCTAGAAGAATGACTTCCACATAGTAAGTGCTTTAAAAATGTTTGTTTAATTAGATTTTATCTAATGAAATATTCATTATTCAGAACCTTGAGCCAACTTTATGGGGCATGGAAAACATAAGAACAGCATTCTGAATAGATAAGTTTAAGTTTCCATACAATAATTTTTTTTTAAAATCCAAAAGAGGTTACAGATTGGCAATATTACCTTCCATATCACTTGTTACCCTATTCCTGTGTTCTTGGTTTAATCAGCCTTTTTAAATATGATCAATCACACTATCTGTATTTTCCAGTTTTAGAGATTTTAGAATAATAAGGCTGTTTCAAAAATTTAAGATTACAATGAATTCAAGTATGGTGGAGCTAAAAGAGAATTAGATATGGAACCAGAATATTTGGATTCCAATTTTGGTCTTATTACTTACTAGTGGTGTGACTTTATTCAAGTCATTTAACTTCTCTGTGTCTCATTGAATTATTGGTTTCCTGTCATATTGATGAAGCTAATAATGATGAGAAAATTCTTGAACAGGAAGTAGAGATTCTAAAAGATAAAAGATGAGAAGTATATTCCAGGTGAAAGTCAATATAAAGGGCTGAAGGCAGAAGATAGCTATCATTTATGGATCACTGAAGGTAGGCCTGTTTAACTAGAACAAGGAAGCTGTAAGGAAATATAATATATTATTCTGGAAAAATCAAAATTCAAATAGAAAATAGATGAATTTATAGTTTATCTTCACAATAATAGGAAGGCACAGAAACTCTTGAATAAGGGACTTTACTAGTTGTATATGTGCTTTAGGAGTATCATTTTGGCCACTGTGTGGAGGATGAATTAGAATCTGAGATATTGAAGACAGGAAGATTAATTAGGAGGCTATTGCTGTGGTACGGGTAAGAGGTGATGCTTGACTAAAATTGAGTGAGTGAAGAGAAAGAATCAACAAGATTTGATAACTGATTGGGTATGGGAAGGGGACCATGAATAAGAATAAAGGGAAAACAATGACTGAAATTGTGAATCTGGATAACTGGACATGATGGTACCCTACAGAGAAATACAGCATTAGAGAGATGTGTATGGGGCAAAAAGATTGTGAGTTCCATTTTTGATACATTAAGTTTAAGATGCCTATAGAATGTCTAACTGGAGATGTTTCATACATAGTTGGTGATTTGGGTCTGAGCCTCAGGAAAGAAATTCTGTGTGGCATTTATGGTCCTTCACAATCTGGCTCCATCCTTTTCCTAAATGATTACACAATACTCCTCTTCATGTACGCTATGTTCCAGCCACACTGGCCTGTTGACTCTTCCCCTGCATGATGTTTCCTCATCTTTAGTTACTTATTTCTCACAATGTTCCCTGAATGTCACCCCCCCCCCCCCGATTCAGTGGGTAGGGAGCTTAGATAATTGGTCGGTTTGGCCAGCTCCACACATTGAGTCAAGGGTGGTATTAGAACTCAGGGATTTCTTGGCTCCAGAGTCTGCCTCAGACCACATTATCTCCCAAATAAATTAATGAAAACAAAGAAAACTTATTTTCTTAAAGGCCTGACTGAAACCAATAAAAGTAATGAAATTCCAATTATATACTGCAGATAATGGAGGACATATGTCATATAATACATAACACCTCTTTTAAAAGACATTATCCACAATTTGAATGACACTCCTTGCTCAGCACTGCCATGTTTTGCTTGTCTAAAATCATAATCTGCATATATTGTTTTTTACCTAGTCTCTAATATCAGCCAGTAAGTGTCTGAGACTGGATTTGAACACAGGAAGATGAATCTTCCTGACTTCAGATCTGGCACTCTATCCGCTGTGCCACCTAGCTGCCCCTAAGAGGGTGGTATATAGTAGACCTTTTAGTCTTTAAATTTTCTGTTAAAAACGTATGACTCATATTGATCCTCATATCTCCCCACACATTTTTCCACTGAAGGAAAAATTCTTACAAGATGCCACGCTTCAGTAGTTCACATTAACAGAACCCTGGCCCTTCAGTGGAAAAGGAACTTGTGGCAAAAGCCAAGATTTTTAGGGTTATCCTCTATTGGTAAAGGCAACTACCTTTAAAAAATTCATCCACGAATTCTGACAGTCCTGGATCCTGTCAGTTCATGTAGAAATACTTCTAGCTTTTCATTGTTTTAATCTTTATTTAGCACTCAAAGACAGAACTGCCCCTCTTAGCCTCAGTCACCATAGAAATCCTTGCAGTAAAAAAGGAAAGTCTTTCTTTTTTTAAGAAGGGACAATGACAGGCTCTTCTAACATTATAATCATCATAATAATCTTCATTATCATCATTTTCATTCATATAGATACCTACAGGAAATCTAGTTTGATGTATCCAGAAAGCAGGTTTTTTTTCTTTTTGGTGAGGCAATCTGGGTTAAGTGACTTGCCCAGAGTCACAAAGCTAGTTAAGTGTCAAGTGTCTGAGGTTGGATTTGAACTTAGGTCCTCCTGACTCCAAGACTGGAGCTCTACCCACTGCTCCACCTAGCTGCCCCCAAAAAGCAGTTCTTGATGAAGAACTGGAGCTTAGCAGAGAGATTTGGATTTGATATATAGAATGAGGATGATTATTTGACCCATGGGAGATCTTGAGATCACATGAAAAGAGGAGGGCCCAGGGCAGGGGCTGAGACTATATCTATGGTTACTGGGACAGACATGATTTAAAATCAGTGAAGAAGAATGAGAAGGAATTGAATGGGCAGGAGAATAACCATGAGAGAGCAGTGACACAAAATCTTAGAGAAGGGAGAGTGTCTAGGAAAGGGTAGTCAATGTTATCCAGTTTCAAAGAGGTCAAGAAGGATATGGATTGAGAAAAGACCATTAAATTTATCAAAGAAATAATAATTGGTAACTTTGGGAAAAGTAATTTCAGTTGAGTAATGAGTTTGAAGACATTGCAGAATGCTTATGAGAGAGTGAGAGAAAATGAATTGGAGGTCTTTAATATAGGGAAGCTAGGTGATGGAGTGGATAGAGTGACAGGCCTGGAGTCAGGAAAACCTGAGTTCAAATCCAGGCTCAAACACTTACCAGCTGTATGGCCTTGGGCAAGTCACTTAACCTTGTTTGCTTCAGTTTCCTTATCTGCAAAATGAGATGTAGAAGGAAAAGGCAAACCACTTCAGTGTCTTTGCTAAGAAAACCCCAGGTGAAGTCATGAAGAATCAGACATGATTAAAAAAGACTGAACATAGACCTATATACACATATAGATATACATCTCATAGATAATGAGATAGAGAGACATAGAGATAGTCTATCTCTATATGTCTTCATATTTCTTGGGCATATGAGGAAGAGGAAAATGCCTCCCCTCCTTGGTTTTAGAAGTCTCTTCTCAGCTAGAGGGCAATATACACACTTAGTTGCCAGTAGCTTTCATGGATACCACCTGAAAAGTGTTTAATTAGCTTTCTGGAAACACCACCTATATGCAATCCCCATATATGCTCCAGGTACCACCTGGACACAATGCAATGTGTGGTGTGTGTGTGTGGGAGAGGGAGATTGCAATTCTGGGAAATGATATTACTTCTGCACAAAAAGTGTATTTCTACCCTTGCCCTAAATACCATTTTTAGGCCATTGTGACAAATTAAATTGGATGCTCTGCACCTGGTACTACAGGAATTGCTTGGGTGGTAGTTTTGCCTATGATCAACATGTGTGTGTACATATATTCATGTGTATTGCTGTGAGTGTGTGAAATCAAGACTGATTGGTCTTGAAAAAGCCAGGGCTATCTAATTCCAGAGAAAGAATTAATGGAGTCTGAATGTACATGAATTTTTCTTGGTTATTATTTTTTTGTCTGTGTTTTCTTTTACAACATGACTAATATAGAAATATGTTTTGCATGATTGCACATTCATGACCTATATCAAATTGCTTACTGTCACAGGGAGGTGGGGGGGAGGGAGGGAAGGAGAGAGAGAATTTTGAACTCAAAATTTTTAAAAAGTCAATGTTAAAAATTCTTTTTACATGTAATTGGGAAAAATAAAATATTTTTCAATAAAAATAATACAGACAGAGAGAAAGAACCAGGAGACCTGGGTTTAACTCTGAGTGTGTTTTACTGACTGCATGACTATGAATAAGTCACTTCTTCTGTATGGACCTCATTTTCCTTATCTGTAAAATGAGGAGCAAAAACTAAATCATCTCTAAGATCTTCTCCACCATCTTAAGTCTTTGACTCTATATTTAAGCATAGAAGTGGCTGATAAAATTTAACTCATTTTCTTATTTGCTAAATCTAAGGACACCTGAGCTCACCCAGTTCATCTCATACTTTCCTACATGCCAGTTGAGAATTAAAAACAAAACACTCTATATAACACAATTTTCTTTCCTATTTTTCTTTGTATAGGGAAATGTTTGTTGATGATTAATTATTAAGTTCATAATTTTAAAAAAAAAGTGAAAAAAGAATATTTATTTCTACACTACTATCCCTCATTTTGATTCACAATATTTGGCTCATTTTAAAGGAGTGGTATTTATGATAGTTCAACCATCTAATTTCTGTGAAGAATAAAAGACAAAATCAACTCCTTCTCCTGTCCCTTCTCCTCCCCACATTTATGTGCACAGCATGGTAGTTCTTTTGCTTTGTTTTTGCCTAGCAGTATTTTGCTGTTGTGACAAAATGAAAGGGGGAAAGGTATGGTACTATGTCAATCCCAAATAGCAGTACTGAGAATATAAAGCAGATGTAATTAAAAACATAGTGGCTCAGGAGACCAAACATCCTGTAAGAGAACAAATGAATTTTAATATATCAATTGGGCAAACAGATGAATCTAAAATTTCTCTGAGGAGAGTGGTAAAGAAAGCAACCATCTGGGAGATTTCATTTCTGTAAAAACAGCAACAGAATGCTACAGAGACAATTTCCCCTGATTGTAAACATAATCACATCTGCTCAGAGAGCACCATGGATTTAAGATTGACCACTTAATCACTGCCTAAGGCATCCCCTGTTCAGGTAAAATAGTAGCATTTTGATTTGGACACAAATTCAGAAAACCAGTAATGATTTTTTGAAAAACAGGTGCATGAGTTCAGTTGTGTAAAAAACTCCCTTTTACCAAAGTAGAGGTTTGGTAACTTCTCTGGGTCACAGAGCCAGTATGGGTCAGAGGCAGTTCCTGACTCCAAGATCAGTTCTTTACTCATCATACCCAAAAAATATTGAGACTTAAACTTCCAAGTCTAACATAAATAAGGTGAAAAATATGAAACTAGATAAAGGTCATAAATAAGAAAGAGAATTCCCTTTTACTTCTAATTTATTATTTGACCTGAACCCCCTCCTATCTATGCATATCTCTGGGAATGGCAAGAGGACCAATCATCTCCTATTGTCTTGACCATCAGGAAAAACAAAAAAAACAGAAAAATAATCTCTTTCCACTTTACTGATGATTTTATCTGCATTCAACTCCCAATTAAATCCAGTCTGTCCTTCAGAGTTCTAATAATAGCTAATATTTATATAGCAATTTAAAGTTCACAAAGGACTTCACACATAATCTTATTTTATCCTCACAATAACCCTATGAAATAATTCTCACTTTACAGATGTGGAAACTGAGCCTTAAGTTAAGTGACTTGGCTGGGGTCACACAACTAGTAAGTATCTGAGATGGGATTTGAATTCCTGTCTTCCTGAATCCAAATCCAGCATTCTATCTGCTAACCCACTTATTTATTCTTTCTTCCTATTTGTTCGGAGAAGACAGGGAGGGATTATCTATTTTAAGAAAACAAAATCTAAGCTTAATTATTTAGAAGAAATTGGGCTATTTCAAAGGAAAAATATCTTGATTTTGTAAGAGGACTGCACTAAGGGGGGAAAATGAATAGATAAAATGAAATAGCAGGGAGTGGAAAGAACATCAAGCATAATCAGTGGTGCTAGAGAATGGCAAAATAGATGACAGCTTAGTTATGGGATATGTATGTGATGGGATACTAATGTGCTATAAGGAATGATGGTGGGTATGGTCTCAGGGAAACCAAAGACTTGTATAAACTGGTGCAAAGTGAAATGAGTTGAAGGAGGACAATAATTTATATTACAGTGGCAATTTTGTAAAGATAAACAATTTTGAATGACTTAGGAACTTCGATCAACCCAATGACCAGCCAACCACAATTCCAAAGGATTCACAATGAAACATGTACCTAATTCCTGTAAGAGAAGTAATGGACTCAAAAAAGAATCTTGTTTTTCTTGCTTTCTCAAGTAGGAGGGAGGAGGAGGTGGGAGAGAGAAAATTTGGTTCTGAAAATATAATGAAAACAATTTTAAAAGAGGGAGTGCTTAATAGTGGCATTTCAGTATTGAACATTGTGGGGACTTTATAGAGCATATAGAAGTAAAGTCCTAGAGGCAATGGTTTTCTAAGAATGACAAATAGAAAACCAAGGCATAGACAGACACATAAAAACAAACAAACAAACAAAAAACTGTTTTAGCATCTTCACCAGCACATATGTGTGCATGTGGATATGCAAAATTAAAAGCAGTCCTTCCCCTCAAGGAATTTATAATCTAGCTTCCACTTTCTGCTATGCCTACCTTATCTCTAGTCTCAGGTGAGAAGAGAAGCAAAATCTTTCTCTGACCACTTGCCTTCCATCTCCTGTTGTGCATATCCCCTGGGGATGACTGCTAGAGGCCAGTGAAGTGACTTCCATCTGTGCCAGCACAAGGCAATATCTACCTCCTGATGCTAGCCTGATCTCCCAACCAAGTTGTGGAAAACCTCTAGTACAAAGAGGAGCAAATTTCACCTTGACCTCAGGCATGCTATCTTCTTTTATGCCTGTCCCTTGAGGGAAAAGGAAGGGGAAAGTTGGTGGAGGGAGAGATTTCTATCACCACCTGTGCAGATTCAACTTCCCCACCTTCTGATGTACTGATTTCTGCCTAGTCTCCTCTCCTCTCCTCCCTCCTCTCTCCTCCTCTTCTTTCCGTTGTTTTCACTTTTCACCATAGCAACTCATGAAATGAGTTGGGATTCTTTATTGGTGGGAAGTATACCTTGTTTTTGAGGTCAAGGATGAATCAATGTATCATCTAGGTATGTATGTATGCATGCATGTGTATATGTATATATGCATATATACACACACACACATAAAATCTTTTTCTTTAAGGGCATTATAAACTCGAGTTGTGAGAAGAGAGACCATGGTTTTTTATTTCTTGTTTATTTCCTAGAGCGTCTAGAGCAATGATGCTCACATTGTACTTGCTAAATAAGCACATTTTGCCTCATTATGGGATGACTGACTTTGATAAACTTGGCTCTTCACAGCAATGCAAGAATCTAAGACAACTTCAAAAGACTCATGATGGAAACTGCTATCCACACCCAGAGAAAGAAATATGGGGTCTGAATGCAGATGGAAGCATGCTATTTGCTCTCCTTTTGTTGTTTTGTTTTGTTGCTTCATTCTTGTGGTTCCTTCCATTAGTTCTAATTGTTCTTTACATCTTGACTAATGGGAAAATATGCTTAACCTGAATGTATATATAGAACCTATATCAGATTGTATTCCATCTTTGGTGGGGGAAGAAGTGGGAGAGGGAGAAAATTTAAAACTAAGAATCTTATGAAAGTGAATGTTGAAAACTAAAAATAAATTAAAAAAATAAAAATAAAATACATTTTGATCAACTAATTAGACTCTTTGGTTGTCTCAAATATCCAGAACCCAGGGTTGAGGATATACTAGGTCATAAATACATATTTGCTGAATTAAATGAGGAAAAGAAAGAGGAGCTGCATGATGCAATAGAAGGAATGCTGGGTTTAGAATTAGAAGACCTAGGTTTGAATGTAGGCTCTACATATGTGATCTTAAGTCACTTAACCTCTATAGGCCTAACCTTCCTAAAGTCTTTTATAGCTCTTGATTAATGATCTCTAGAACTTACTAGTGACAAAAAAGCAATATGAAACTGGGGTCAGCATTTAAGATAGAAGTTTCTATCCAGGCAGTGATAATCCTGGCACTGTGAAAGATTCAGGAGAGAGACAACAAGGAATTGTATAGCTTTGACTTTGGTCTAACTTTTCTCTTCTTCCCATAAACAAAGAAGAATATGGTGTCAAGAGATAAGGATAATAAAAATAATTCAAGCAAAGTTATTTTGAAGGCCAATTGGAGACAAATAGAAACAATTAACTATGTTAAGCCATTACATAAATTGAACATTACATTTTAGAAAACCTATTATTGCTGTAATAGTAGTTTATCTTTTGTATTGGGGCAAAGGGGACTTTTTTTAAAAAACTCAGAGTAATTCCTTTCCCCTAAAATCAATATTCAGTTCAACTGCAGTTTAATGTGATAAAATGAGGCTTGAAAATTATTTCTGAGTAAAAACCACCATTCCATCAAAGGTCATTGCACAGCAGATGCCATTTTCACCCCCTCATCAATCCCATTTGATTGGTTTGGGGAAATTTGACATCTTTTTCAGTTGTTGTACATGGAAATGCATATATATGCTCTCCTCTTCTTGGCTTTTTTTTCTACCATTCATATGTGAACCTGACAGAAAGTGTATGAAAGTAATCACCACTTTGCTAAGCAACAAGGAAAAATGGTGGGGGAGTATAATATAAATAACCTCTGATAAATTGATGTAGGAAAGAGCAGATGACAAGTACTGAAATATAATCTACTCAGTTGTTCACTTTATCCACGGAGAGCTCTAGTATTTTTATGACCTTAGTTTATGATTCTCTAATGTCAGAGTGACTGGTCCCATCTTTCATTGGTCTGAGTTATCGTATTATTTACAACTTAATAAACAGTATTGATTTCTTTAGATTCTTATCTATGCTCATCATTGACATAGCACAACATCATTGCTACACAAAAGTAAAGCAATGTTAACAAGCATTAGAGAGAATATAGAACAAGAAAAGGAGTTCATAAGCAACCAAAAAAGCCCTGTTTTTCACTACAAATGTATAAAATATACATAAAAGCCCTTCAAGAACTTTTTTTTTTAAAGAGCCTAGAGACTTGAATGAAAAGGGCAGACCACACTATGTGAATTACTCTACAGCAGATCTACATATGGTATGTGTTGTCTGTCTTCCTATACATTTATATTTTTTATTTAGGGAGCTCAGGGGAGTTAAGCCAGAGAAAAGATAGAGACAATACAAGCTGTAATGATATGAATATCTTAAAATAGAGTAGACATAAAAGGGCCACATTTGTAAATTTGTAAATTATAAATATTAAAAATATTTGACTGGGCTAGAAAATTTTGCACTTCCCCCATTTTCATCAACTTCTCCTTGGAGCAAACCCATTTGCTTCTCCTTTAAAATATCCAAACATACAATACAAAGTAGTGGTAGAGGTAAACCTCTTTACTCCTGTCCTGAAAACTTAAAAAAAAAAAAGGGAATACATGCAGGTACGTGAAAAGCTGTTTTGCCTTTTTAATTAATTTTTTCTTAAGTTTACTACTTGTTTTTTATAAGCACAGCTGATTTTTATTATTTTTTCACTATATATATATTTAAATTTTTAAATTTATTTTACTTTTTAATTTATGGGATAAAACAACCATTTCCATAACATAGTATAGTAAAAAAATGATTGCACATGAAACTGTAAATCTATTATGCTTGCTATTCCTTTTAAAGTTATCATGTAAATTTTTTTCCTTTTTTTCCTTCCACCCTCACTCTAGAGATGGCTACCATTAGAAACAAGTGTGTATGTGTCTGTGTGTGTCTGTGTGTCTCTGTGTGAGTGCATGTATGTAAAATCATTCCATACATACCTCTACTTATCAGTTCTTTCTCAGGATTCAGGTAGCTTCTTTCATATGTCCTTTGTAGTTAATTTGGGTATTTATATATAAACTACTGGGTTTTATAGAATTCCTTTAATTTCCTTTAAGGTTCTACATATATATGGACAACCACTCAAAATTATTCATAGAAACTGAAAAGCAGAGAAAGGCAATGATGACTTAAAGCTAGTGGTAGGCAAAGTCTACTTCAGGTTGTCTAAGTTTATTAGATAATTAAAGATATCCTCTAAGAGGAAACTTACTAAAACCTTTGTAATGTGTTGCAAATATCTCAGAAAATATGCAATCAAAAGCCACTCTAGAACCTTCTAAGGCCAGAGAGTCTTAAACTGTTTCATGTCAGTGACCTTTTGGGGTTTGGTAAAGCCTACAAATCTTTATTTTTAATGCATAAAAGAAAATGCATAGGATTTCAAAAGAAACCAATTATATTGAAATATAGTTATCCAATTTTTTTTTTAAGTTCATAGACTCCAGGTTAAGAATCTTTGTTTGAACAAAGTAACATGATTAAGTGCCTACCATGTGTAAAGGACTGTTGTAAGCACTGGGAGAGATATAAAGTTTGATAAGATTTTGTCATTGACCTCATGTCATGTATATACAAACCAGAAGGCACAAGTAAAGATTAACTACAATGTGCAATAATAAATTGGAGAGCTTAAAAAAAGTGATGTGCAAGGTCCAAGGTGGAAAGTCATTATGGATAAGGGTTATCAGGGAATGCTTCAAGATAGCATTTAAATTGGGCTTCAATTGAGTTGGGTAGGAATTTACTAGGTAAAGAGAGTGAGAAGATATTCCAGACACAGGAAGCATTCCTGAAAAACATTTATCCTATTTCATATATCAATAATAATTTTCCATGTTGTTTTGTTAGCAGAACATCTGTCACTAATAAATTTATTAAAGGTTTACCTGGTTATTGGAATCTCCTTCACCTATTCAAGGCTTTCATAGAGTTCTTTTTATTTTGCATATGATTAAAAACCTTTCAGAGATCAACATGGCTTGAGCTATATGTTTCATAGTTGAAAGAGATTTCAGTTTAATTACCCAGTCATTTCCCACAACTTCAACTTTTATGAGGCAGTTTGCATTCCATTTCATGTATTATTCTCAGTTTTGACAGGCCCTCAGCCTATTGTTCCACAAGATAGAATATTTTAGCTACTTTGCCTGTCTTTTGAGCATGACTGTCAATAAAAAGCAATAAAGATATTTGTTTATGAGAGGTTTAAAAGAGTCTTCAATGAGTCTCTGTCCCTTTTCTATTACAGATATATGAGGAAACACTTCAGGATGTGTTAGAACATGATGGCTATGTTGATATATGTTCTCAATACACATATTTAAAATTTTATCAAAGTAGAAAATGTCATCATGGATATGTTATTGTTCTCAGTCATGTCCAGCTCTTTGTGACCCCTTTGGGGGTTTCCTTGGCAAAGATACTGGAGTGATTCACCATTTCCTTCTTCAGTTCATTTCACAGATGAGGAAATTGAGGCAAACAGGGTTAAATGACTTGCTTAGGGGCACAGAACTAGCAAGTACCTGAGGATGGATTTGAACTCAGGTTTTCCTGACTGCAGACCTGGCACTCTATCCACTGTTCCGCCTAGCTTCCCCTTCATGGGTTATTGAAGACAAAACATGTTTTTCAAAAACGTAGTTGTTGCCAGCACTGTTGTCACTATCTTTGTGCATATATTTTCACTGGGTTATTTAGATATTCCATAACTTCTATGCCATGTATGTAGAATAAATTAATTATAGAGATTTAAAAAACAAAAGTTTAGAAAATTAGTTACTCAAAAGTCAGACACTGTACTTTGCATATTAAAGTAGCTCAAAAATCTGAGAGCCTACATGCCTCTCTGAGATCCATGTGGCTCACTTGCAAGGCACAATCTCATCTCTGGACGCTGCATGTGCTCCTTTTTGCCTAAGGCTTCTGTCCTGCTCTTTCCTGGACATGTATGAGTCTTACATATAGACTTTCTTTTTGTCTGCTGATCATTCCCTAATGTCTTTCTATCTATGACTTCTGAGATAACAGTTAGAAATACCTGACAGAGAACATGTCCTCTGACTATAAAATCCATAACCTTCAACTGCCTCAGTAAGTAAACCATCATGAAATCAAACATAACTTAGGCATCGCTACACCAAAAGGGAGGATTGGCAAGGAGTTTGTCTGAGCTGTCTGTGACATGCCCTCTCTGAAGGACCTTTGGTGGTAATCTTTCTTCTTTCTCCTACTGCTGTCTAAGTATTAATGTACTAAAGTTTCCAGTGATTTTATTCTTCCTTTGTTGTCTCTGTCCTTCCATTCTCTTATTCCCAAGTCTTTCATTTGAGGACTTGAACCTCCCCTTGAGTGAATTAATACATACCATATTTAAAATTTTTTGAATATTTTATTTTTCTCAATTATAAATAAAAATAATTTTTTAAAAATTTGAATTCCAAGTTCTCTACCTCCCTCCCTC